TAACGTCTGCCACCACTTCCAGTGCTTTCAATCCTTTTAGAGACACATTGAGACACTGTTTGGCCACTTCTGACACTTTTGTGGCATTACGTCCCGTCACCACAACATTGGCACCCGATTTAGCAAACAGTATGGCAGTGGCCGCACCTATACCTGAACTGGACCCGGTCACCAGGGCTACCTTTCCCGCAAAGTTGTATGAAAGCGACATTTATTTAATAATTTAGGAATTTTATTTTTTAGTCAAAATGCAATGAATTATGAATTTTATGAAAAATATCTTTCTTATATAATACACGCAAATATTTGCACTAATATTGGACTACTGAATGTCGTATAGAAAACTAGTACATCTAGTACACTTTTAATCAATTATGCTATAAGTTGTAATAAAGTACTTATTTATTATAATAATACAGTATTCATATTATAGATGACAGCACTTAAAATTTAATTTTAAGCAATTTTTATTTTATTTAATCATATGGAATTTTATTGTATCTTAAATTAATAATTTACATTTTAATTGTAGATTTTTGTAGATTTGTATTAATATTAAATTTTCCTTTTCGTGTTTTTATATTACAATTTAACATAAGTTTTACAATATTATCTACCGGTGCTTCAAATATTATATGCAGTATGAACGCCAAAACCAGGGTAAACCCATAAAACCCTGTGGCTGTGAATAACTAATAAATACTATTCATTAGTAAATATGAAAAAATAATATAATTTAATATGAAATTCAATACCAAATCGTAATGAGTCGATGAAAATAGATGTCTCGTCCGAAAGAAATTAAACCAAATGACAATCATATGAGACATGTATATCGAAAATGTGAGCCGGGATGTTAGCTTAAATACTTTTGATGACAATACCCTGTTTATAATTCCTTAATTAAAACAATTGAAACAATAGTTAAATAAATTTGAATAACTACTTTACGCAATCTATATTAGTTATATTTAAAACTAACCAGCTCCATTAATAGCACAACTGAATGTGATCCAGGCCAATCCCACAGACCATATAACTATATGACATATATGTGTCAAAAATACCACAGAATCTAAGTTTGTCTGAAGATTCTGACGATAGATATTCACGTAATTCTTGTCTCCAATACCGACCGGAATAGCGATTCCCGCGTTATTCACGAGAATATCTATTTTGCCAAATGTTTGCACAGTTGTGTCCACAAGTCTTACAAGATCTTCATTTCTGGTAACGTCTGCCACCACTTCCAGTGTTTTCAATCCTTTTTGAGACACATTGAGACACTGTTTGGCCACTTCTGACACTTTTGTGGCATTACGTCCCGTCACCACAACATTGGCACCCGATTTGGCAAACAGTATGGCAGTGGCCGCACCTATACCTGAACTCGACCCGGTCACCAGGGCTACTTTACCACTAAAGTTATATGTAAGTGACATTATTTTTCAAAGTGGATTCGCTAAAAATTGTTGTGATTTTATATTTGTTATATTGATATGTACTGTACTGAATGTTATAAAATACACTATCAAGTATGAATAAATTGGTCATTTATAAATTATAATCATTATATTAATAGATTATATCATACAAACTGTTATCAACACTTTTCTAAGTTACTAGATGACTCATACACGTGTTATTATTAAAGTTAACAGATTTTTTGAACAAACCTACCAATTATTTTGATAATTTTAAAATATTTTCTAAAACTTTGATGATAAGTAGTGATGTAGTTGATGATGTAGTATTAAGTTGTACAGTAATTGATATTTAAATTATTAGTAAAGTATATATCAAGTCACCAGGGCTACACAACCGCAGAAATCATACAAACGAGATATTTTCATTGTAATTTATAATATTTTGAATATTCACTGTTAATATAATTAATTTTATTATTTTGTATTTTATAATTTTGTATGATAATATAGCAGTTAGAACGTACCATGAAATATTGTATATATTCAAATTATTGTACAAAAGATTTATATTATTTTAATTAATCAGTTGAAAAATTAAATGGCATATGATTATGAGAACATTTTAAGTTAACTTTTATTTTTTAATTAATTTAATTAGATAAAATCATGTATTTCTAAATTATTAAATAACATCTTAATTATAGTTTTGAATTACTTTTATTAAGACTAATGTTGAGTGATATTAATATTAGCGGCGAGATGTCCGCCATCGGCCACCAAAACACTTCCCGTTATGAATGAACTCTCATTTGATGCCAAATATAGCACAGCGTTTGCGATGTCATCCCCTTCTCCCACCCGTCCCACGGGGTATAGCTTTCCATAGTTTTCATACCACTTATCCGACTCACTCTTAGTTACACCTGAGTTACTCGCAAAGTTTGTTTTGACAGCACCAGGGCTATATTGTACACATTATTGATTCATTAGGATTGTTATAATTACACATTTGATTACATACTTAACACTATTAACACGAATGCCTTTGTGTCCCAACTCTACGGCAATACATTTGGTGAACATATCCAGCGCTGACTTTGACATACAATAGGCTGATAAGTCGTGTCTCTGTTTAATATTTGAAAATATTATAATAGGTTTGAAATATTTATAGTCATTTTCATACGGTTTGAGTGCTTCGGACGCTCGAAATGTTGACAATATTTCCTTTAGTTTTCTCCAAATGTTTGACACAAATATGTGTCAGAAATACCACAGAATCCAAGTTTGTCTGAAGATTCTGACGATAGATATTCACGTAATTCTTGTCTCCAATACCGACCGGAATAGCGATTCCCGCGTTATTCACGAGAATATCTATTTTGCCAAATGTTTGGACAGTTGTGTCCACAAGCCTTATGAGATCTTCATCTCTGGTAACGTCTGCCACCACTTCCAGTGCTTTCAATCCTTTCGGAGACACATTGAGACACTGTTTGGCCACTTCTGACACTTTTGTGGCATTACGTCCCGTCACCACAACATTGGTTAACGTCTGCCACCACTTCCAGTGCTTTCAATCCCTTCGGAGACACATTGAGACACTGTTTGGCCACTTCTGACACTTTTGTGGCATTACGTCCCGTCACCACAACATTGGCACCCGATTTAGCAAACAGTATGGCAGTGGCCGCACCTATACCTGAACTCGACCCGGTCACCAGGGCTACCTTTCCCGAAAAGTTGTATGCAAGCGACATTTATTTAAAAATTTATAAAAGTTTATTTTTTAGTCAAAATGCAATGAATTATGAATTTTCTGAAACAATATTTTTCTTATATAGCACTCGCAAATATTTGCACTAATATTGAACTACTGAAGGTCGTATAGAAAACCAGTATCATTATGCTATAAGATGTAATAAAGTACTTATTATTATAATAATACAGTATTCATATTTCTGTATTACATTATTATGGATGACACGTTGATTATTAAAGCACTTTAAATTTAATTTTAAGTCATTTTTATTTTATTTAATCATATGGAATTTTATTGTATCTTAAATTAATAATTTACATTTTAATTGTAGATTTTTGTAGATTTGTATTAATATCAAATTTTCCTTTTCGTGTTCTTATATTACAATTTAACATAAGTTTTACAATATTATCTACCGGTGCTTCAAATATTATATGCAGTGTGAACGCCAAAACCAGGGTAAATGTAGATTTGTATTAATATCAAATTTTCCTTTTCGTGTTCTTATATTACAATTTAACATAAGTTTTACAATATTATCTACCGGTGCTTCAAATATTATATGCAGTGTGAACGCCAATACCAGGGTAAACCCATAAAACCCTGTGGCTGTGAATAACTAATAAATACTATTCATTAGTAAATATGAAAAAATAATATAATTTAATATGAAATTCAATACCAAATCGTAATGAGTCGATGAAAATAGATGTCTCGTCCGAAAGAAATTAAACCAAATGACAATCATATGAGACATGTATATCGAAAATGTGAGCCGGGATGTTAGCTTAAATACTTTTGATGACAATACCCTGTTTATAATTCCTTAATTAAAACAAGTGAAACAATAGTTAGATAATGTTGAATAAATACTTTACACAAACTAATATTGGTTGTAATACAAACTAACCTGCTCTATTAATGGCACAATTGAATGTGATCCAGGCCAATCCCACAGACCATATAACTCTATGCGAACCAAAATAAAGGGCGGCCCCCAATCGGCTGTAGTCCCACTGAAGTCCTATCCATATATAAGTTATAAATACGACTAATAAAAGTCCACACAATGTTGATATCCATAGAAAGCTATTCATAAACTATTAATAAAAACAATATTAATATTAAGCTTGTTAGCAAATAAATGATTTACGAAATATACCTTGCTAATGTAGAAATTATGTTTTTTTAATAGCAAACACGCTATCAAACATCCAGTAAAATAAGGTGTGATGTGGTTATATGTTTTAAAATGCATTAAACTTATGTTATTTGACATATTCCTGTACAATAATATTGATTTTTAAAATTGTAATCCATTTAATTGTATTGTACATTGCAAAACATACCCTATATCAGCCTCATACAAAATGGTCGGGGGTAGTTTATTATAATAAGCCATAATTGTGGGAATTATAATTCCCGATAATATCAGACCGATTGATGCAATTATGCCTCTATTTAAACTTGTGCTGGTTATTTTAATGACTATGAATGCCAGAACATAAAACTGAAAATCAGCGCTCAGGTACCATGTATGTATCAAACACTGTAACAAAGGTATATTTGTAATATTGTAATCTTATTAATCATATACACAGTATAAAATATGGTAGTATATTCAATAAAATTAAATTAAATAATTAAAATCAATAATATTCATGTATACATAATATTCTCGACCTCCGAGAATAAATACACCAAAAATGTCATTAATTAAATAAAATTATTAATATTTATTTACAGTCTAAACAAAACATTATAATTAAATGAGAAAGTAACAAAACAATAATTTCATTTCACTTTTAAATCATACCTGATCATTTGGTGGGTACCAATTGTTAATCATTAATAAATTTCTCCACCAATAAGTATAACACGGGTCAGTCACATGTTTAATAAAATTGTGATGAAAAAATGGGCCTGATCCTAGTAGTGGCCACAATAGGTTTATAGCTATAAGTGCTATGAGAAGGGGTGCAAATCTATAACAAAAACAAATCAATTAATAAGTTATACAGTATTAATAAAATTATAAAATTAAATACTAATACCTAACCCATCGAAGTATCAAATAAATGCAAAAACTGATGTTTCGTTTTTGTTGTTTGATTTTAATGAAAGTCAAGTAAACGACCAAAAATCCGGACATAAAGAAAAAGGTATCCACAGCTAACAGTGCGTTGATAACCAGTTGTGTGAACACCTGTTTCGGCAAATTTATTGAGTCAACCAAATTGGAGACTAAATACAAAAAATTAATTAACTTATTAGTAGTCAAACTTTTGGATAAAAATAAAAAATTAGTAAAATTACAGTAAAAATTTGCTGTCGGGATGTGTTCATTGAAAAACAGGGCCCCAGTAATATAGGTGTGCCCAACGATTATCCAGATCATGGATAACACTTTCATCCCGGATAAAAACTTCAGATTAATTGCATAGCTTTTGTGACCACCGGTTGGTTTGGTATCGAAAAAGTTGTTCACATTTTTGGTGAACGAAAAACTGGTCAATAGTTTTACATAAAAATAATTACTCTTTGAATATCTAATGGATAACAAGTCTACGAGTGTTGCCAATAGTGTAATGAATACAAATGTGGCGATTATGCACAGGGCTATAGTCTGTCCCCAGTCTAACACCAATTTGTTATCCGTTTTCACTGAACAGCTATCGATAGTCACATCCAAATGAAAAGGTTGTAAATCTGGACAAAAATATATCTAAACATTAAATTCCTAAAAAAATTAAAATAAATTTACATACACTTAGCGGCAATAGTTTCCAGATCATTTTGCGTGCATTTGGAGGGAACGCATACTCCATTAGTTACGGAAAAGTAGTAAAAATTGTATAAAATGTGCACGACATAATTATCGATCCACGTGTTTTGAAATTGACTTTCATTTAAATTAATCAATCGGTCCTTAAATGTAATGACATGTCTCTTGGCAGGCATTTGCACCTTCAGGTGTAATAAGCAGTATTGGCCCACAATCTCATTCATACCGTTCCCACTCTTAACACTTAAACACTGGTCGTAATCACCGAGTGATGTGAGAGTACCGCTCATTAGACCCGATGGTAAGTGTCCGGTCGAGTCCATCACTATTATATACAAATCACAACACATTTATAACTATTTTTATAATAACCATTAATTTTCTTATAATAAATATCATTTTTATCAAGTTTATTTTTAATATCTACTAAATGCATTAATTATAGAATATTCCTGTGTTTTAGTCGGAAATTGTATCAAATTATGTTAAACCCTGTAACAGTAATACCTATAAATATTATTCAATAATATTTTAGTTTAAATTTATTTTTAATTTTAGTTAGGGTTTTAAATAAATAATTAATTATATACTAGGTGCAACATACTTTTAATAATCCACTGTTCATTATTGGTGAGAGCGCTGTAAGCCTTTGCCAAACCGGTCATACAATCCATCGATATATTCGCGGTTAAGATCTCAGTCATCATAATTGGTGTCAATTCAGTGCTCACTATATTATATAACTTCTTAATCTTCTCAATCATATCAATGAACTTCTCGTCGGGTGTCATATACTCGCTATTATTGTTAGCCTTGAGCTCATTCATGATCAGGGTCATTGGCGACTGTTTTTTGCCATCACTCTCACTCTCATCATAATCATCAGTATATTCCGTATCATTTAGAAAATCTTCATTATATTCCGGGCGATGCTTTAGGAAAGGGGTGTTTGCATTGACATAATATCCAGGTCCATTATCGTCGTTATCATCGGATTTTGAGATATAGTTTAAGTTTTTACTCAATTGTGTGGTATTTGTTATCAATTTAGGATTTTTCGTAACAAAATCATAGTCTTCAGTCTCGCTCTCTGTAATCGTATCATTAGTTTCATTAATAGTTTCTATTAAATCACTTATATTTTCATTGTTTTCTAAACTTTTATTATAAACTTCAGTTATATTATCCACATTTGATATGATACGGGAACTGGAAGTGTCTGTCCACTCAACACTAGTAACAGTGCTATTATTAGCCACTGGATTAACGGTTTGCGATAAAACACAGTTAACTTCTTAATCTTCTCAATCATATCAATGAACTTCTCGTCGGGTGTCATATACTCGCTATTATTGTTAGCCTTGAGCTCATTCATGATCAGGGTCATTGGCGACTGTTTTTTGCCATCACTCTCACCATAATCATCAGTATATTCCGTATCATTTAGAAAATCTTCATTATATTCCGGGCGATGCTTTAGGAAGGGGGTGTTTTCATTGACATAATATCCAGGTCCATTATCGTCGTTATCATCGGATTTTGAGATATAGTTTAAGTTTTTACTCAATTGTGTGGTATTTGTTATCAATTTAGGATTTTTCGTTACAAAATCATAGTCTTCAGTCTCGCTCTCTGTAATCGTATCATTAGTTTCATTAATAGTTTCTATTAAATCACTTATATTTCCATTGTTTTCTAAACTCAATAATATTTGAAGTCAATATAATAGGTGTAAACTATACTATGCCCTTGACCTTCACAGACAGGTGAGTTGTGATCATTGTCACGATAATAATCGGTGACCTAATTGCCAAACGCTATTTTGTGTCATTGAAACAAATAAACACAAAATTAATTTAAATCCAAACATTTTGTTTTCTGAATTATTAAAACACTTTTCAAACTTTTTAAAAAACTTTTTTGTATGAATGGCACAAATATGCGAGTCTAGGCGTCCAGTCAGTTGTGAACGAGTGGTGGAACTGTACCTAATTGATGGTCACTTATATAGCGAGGGTCATAATGGGTCATACGTGACGAGCCATAGCCATGTACGTGACCAGTCATGCCATACGTGACCACCAGTGCTCAGTGACCAGCCCTCTGGACATTGCAATTATCGCACAATGGGATCACAAATTAGTTTTTGTCATACAATACAAGAGAGAAAATTGAATTTTTGTGTTGTGTTTGACATTCACTGCGAAACTCCA